TCATCCAGCGAGACAAAAAATGCTCAGCTACCCTATCTAGAGCGAGGTGTGTTTGCCTATTTTAAAGTTCACTTTTGCTTGTTTTAAAGATTTAGGAAACAACAGGGGTTAAGTTCACTACCTAACCAGTTAAGTAACTGGTTACTTAGTTCCCTGGGTGAACTACCTAAACTGAATCCGACTTGCAGGCTGCTGCTTATTGAAACATTGTGGTTTGTATCAGCTACGAGGGAAAGGATAGCTATTATGGATAACCGACTTTTGGGAATGCGTATTTGTGTTCCTTCCAGACTGAATCTTTTACTAGTGGAAATTTTCGCCAAGTTTTCAAGCATTTGTTGTGAACCTAATGTTTTGTCAGAAATCCTTAAACTTCAGAATAGTAATAAATTCTGTATCTCATTAAAATCAGGAAAGATAAGCAAACTCAAACTGCAGAGATACGGGTTACAAAAGACAGTGTGAGTCAGGGCCTGATATTTAATGAGAAGCAAGGAAGAAGATGATTAGCTGAGGGAAAACATCCTGAGCATATGTTAACTACAGGGTTGTATATTAATTAGAGGGCTACAGACAGCGTTCAAAACTGTGGACAGAAGTAGATAACTGGACACTAGGAGCTCCAGGTATTTCACGTCTGTTTAGGCTCTAAAAAAAAAAAGGTGTCTGATTACCTCAAGTGATGACAGTTATTTATAAGGACAGATGACATACTATCAAACGACAGTACGTCAGATAGGCGGGACGCGTCCTGAAGAAGTGCCATTTTTGGCTAAGAGGAAAACATAATTAAAAAATCTAACAAGTAAAAGAGAAAAGCGCTAGGGGTCAGTCTTGTTCCAGATCTGGATTTCCCCAGGGTTTTCTTTAAGAAGCAGATTTTATGAAGGAAATAGTAGAATGATTTTCCCTTATGGTTGTGTCAAGGATTATGGGGTATACGAGCTGTTTGAAGAATGGAGGGTAGCAGCAGGATGAAAAAGCATTCTATTTTATAGATAAAAAGAAATTTTAAAATTATACATGTGGCAGAGTTGTTTTTTTCATGACATATTGTACTACCATGCATTTGTGTATGTTTAAAACATACCTGCTTTTTAAATGTGAGTCTTTTGCATTAATTTTTAAAACATACGGGTCCGGCCCAATACCCATCTGCTTTTAGAGTGGGAAATGGATTCTACATTCACAAGTGCAACGTTAACATAGAATCTTATATGTTAACATTTTTCTAAAAGATTTTATTTCATGTTGGAGAAATAGGCACTCTACAAAAGCATAATCAGCAGCAAATCCTTGGTGAGTTGAGGTTTTTGTAAGGTTTTATTTTCTCAGAAAAAAAAAAGATATTTTTACTGGGCAATTAACTCCATGAATCTTTTTCCACCATAGGAGTCTGTTTGTGGAGAGGAGGAGAGCCAGTAAAACTTTGTGATCATTGTGATTTTAAAACACCAGGACTTTTGTTTTAAGTGAAACCAATAATGCAAATTTAATTATGTTTGATTCACATATGTTTATCAGGCCAGTTGTGCCTACCTGCATCCCAGATCCACTGATGCGGGTTTTCCTTGGTGAATACCTTGCAGTCCCTTACGATGGATTTTAACCGGGATGTGAAATCTGTTTAAATATTTCTGCTAGGCTTTGTACTTCTTGGTAGAAATAGAAGTTGAGCTCCTGTTATGCCATATTGAAATCTTAACCCAGTTAGGCATACTGGCTTTAAGAGTAAATACTGTACAAGGGTCCAGATTCCCAGTATCAGAATTGGTATTTCACATGTAGGTATATCACATGCTGAAGCAGGATCACAAATACTGGCCATTCAGGCTTTGCTCCACATGGAGTATACCTGTGATAGCAGATACTTGTTAAACTGATAGAGGCGTTTGCTGTTGTAGTTTTTACAAGTTTCAGGACCTTGACTGCACTAATAAGCCTTAATGGCCTCTGACCAGACTCAGCTGGGGCTTCCAGCCATGCCTCTTGCCCAGAAGCCCTATTTCAGCTCAGCCTTGGGTCTTCAGTCCTTTTCTGAGCTAACTTGACTCAGTAAGGGGTACCTGCTTCCTGAGGGATGTATTCAGCGATCGACTGGGAGGGCAAGGACCTCACCTGCAGTACAGGCTTGGAGGTTGTGATAGTGGGTTTCACAGTCCTATCTGAAAAAGGAAGGAATGATTAAACTCAGAACCTTGGATGGTGCTTCAGGCTCCAGAGCAAACTATACTCCAATAATTTAAGTGTGTTTTGTTGTCCTTTGAAATACTGACTTTATCTGCTATGCTATACTCTACTTCTGGTTGTCTCTACTTCTCACCCACTGTTCCAGATCCTTTCTCTTTCCTTTGTCAGTCCTGTGTGTGAACAAGCACACAGTGCCATAGGGTAAGCCAAACTTGCTGCATAACAGTTACTTTGTGGTAATTTTAGATGAAGGTCACTGGATAAAAAAACCCAGGTAAATAAGGGAAGTTGTTTTTATGCTATTTAGTTTTTCAAGAGCTTTTGTAACTGATGCATCTGGTTGGTTCCAGTCCTTCAATTAGTGTATGCTGAGTGGGGTCAAAAAACTACCGTGGGACCTGGGAGAGACGGAATTTAAATCAGACTCCACTGGCCATTGTCTCAAAGATTGGTATGAGAAGATGAGGTCTACTATCTCGAAGATGGCTGTGAGGAGCTGAGATGGAACTCCACTGTCCGTTATCTCAAGGGTTGGTGTGAGGAGTTGCTGTCCATTATCTCAAGGACTGCTGACAGACATGCACAGCTAAAGAGCTGGCTGCAAGACCAGCAAAAGTGGATGCACGTGATTCACCAGGAATGTGCAGTACGTGACGTTAAGAACAGAGGCTCTTCCCCCTAATGTATTATAAAAGGGGAAAAAAGTAATAGCCGTTGTGGCCATCTGCCTTCAGTGATGACTACAGACCCTGGGAGACACCCAGCACCAAAGACAACAACTACGGACCCTTGGGATGTCATTGGATCCACAGTGGTGAATATCTCTCTCTGCACTCCAAATTCTTGCTTAATTTCTGTCCTTTTTTCCAATCTGTCCTATCACTATTTTCTTATAATAATTATCTTTTTATAATAAATTGACTGATTGCAGTACTGATTTCTTTTGCATCTTAATTTCACTCTGAGCATCACAAACAAAATACTTGCAACACTGGGTTTTATCCAATTGGACCTTGGCAGCACCAAACTGAACTTAAGTGTAGATCAATACTGGGGATAGTGTTTTATGAATTAAGTTAGAATCTCACTTAGGGATGCATCTTCCTTTGTTGAGACACTAACTTGAGAAGTTTTAAAGCCATCTGATTGATACAACTTTGTCATTTGAAATATGATATGACTGTTAATGTCTACCTGTACTGTTCTGCCATTTTCAAATGCAAATTGGGCTGCAAAACAGCAGTAGAGTGTAATCTGGGGGATCAGTTTTAACTTTGCCTCATGTATAAAAAAAAAAAAAAACAACACTGAATTCAGTAGTTTCCAGTGGAAAGTTAAGTGGACATCCTCCCTTGTAATCCTACTTACAGTTGATCCCTAGTTCAATTAGAAGAAAAAAAAAAAATAGGTCAAATTCTTATTGAAAAGCTCTGCTGTCATTTCTGAACTTCTGTTACTGAAACCAGGTGGTTTTCTTGAGTAGTGGAACTAATGAACTTGATCACCTATGAACTTGCATTTCTGGTTGCAGGAGATCCAACTGAAGCTTTTTCCAGTGTTTGAGTGTTGACTGACAGAGAAGTCTTGTCTGACTCAGAATATTTTATCAGTGTTTTATCAGCAGATTCTGCTAAAACACTGTCTTGTACCAAAGCCTCAGGTTTTTCCTTCTAACCCTCCTTCTCCCAGTTACATAAACAGTCTGATTGAAAATATCTCAATGCTGTTTTTGTCTCTCAGTTTACTTGATATCTGTTCTTCTATGCTCTGACATTGGTTATGTTTGTCGTCTGTGTCTAGCCATGCATTCAGGTTCAGTGTGTTCTCTGCTGTAAAGGAGAAAATACTTATATGTTACTATTCATCTAGTAAAGCAATAATTGCAACTACTTCTAGAACATCTTTATTTTTTTCTTAATTTGCTTTCTATTTTCACTCAGGTTTGTTTTTTTTCTGAGAAAATAAGGTGCTAGGAAATTGCTCCAGCCTTCTCTGTTCTCTTTATTGCCATAATAAGCTTGTAAGTTTTATCAAACATATAATCAGATATCAATGTATAACATATATCAACATATAATTAAGTTCCTACACTTTTTTTTTAATTGATGACCATATAGAGAAGATAGTATAACTGTATTAACTGAGTTAAACTTGAGTGTGAGTACATGTCTTATCAGATACCAATTAACAATGTCATGTCCTTAAGTCGTAGTCACAGAAAAAGTTTCAGCCACAGGCAGCAGCATCCTGTCACTAGTGCCACTGAAGGAAGAAACTATACTAAGTCATTCCTTGTGTGCAAGGCTCTGTTCCTTACCTTTTCTTATTAGTGTTCTACCCGGGCTAAACATCTCTTCCCTGCATAGCATTTCTCAGCAACTGTGACCAGTTTTCCTTCCTTGCCTTTCCCTTCTTCTACACTGTGTTTCTCAGTCAGCCTTAATTTTCTTTCACTCTTGAAGAGTTTCTCATACTCTTTCTGCCTCTGGATATTTGAAGTCCCTCTTTTTCTTCCAGCAATTAAAGAGTTTGGTTTCTCTGTCCCAAGACTTTTATCTTCTCACTCCTCCTTCTCTCCACTGCCTGCAGGCATTTTTCTGCCTTGAACTTTTCCCTCTTGAAGTGCTTTATTCTTAAGAGTGCTTTATCTCTTTTTACCCTCACCAGAATTTCCCGTTTTCACTAAGGATTTTTTCCTTTTTCCCTTTTGCCCTGCCCTTCCTTAGCTGATACCGGATAATCCTCCTTCCCAGTTCTGATAAACCTGAAAAAGTGTTCAAACCCACCACTAGCAAAGTGGAATCTTCTGCTTTCAGCATGGCAGCAAAAATTGAACAAGATTTCCTTCATCACTTTATTGGTCCATCCGGATTCGGAGAGGATTGATAAAGTAACAGAGTTTATGAAAGATGCCAACACCGTCTTCTCTGATGACCTCTGCAATCCTCTGGCATCCTAAAAAGGCAACATAATTTCATCTGCAGATGATGTGTATAATAAATCCCCAGCAACGTCTGTGCTGATGCCTGTAGGGCTGGCTCGGTGACTTCTGTGGGGAATTTGTAGCATCCAGCCTCTGGCATCTGCTCCTGGCAGAAGCTCAACCATTTGAAGAGAAGCTGAGGGGGAAAATAATCCCAATGAGGATGTTTGCACATGCTGTTCTCTACCTCCTCGCCTGGGTGTTTTGCTGAAGGACTGGGACATCTGCACAGAAGGGAGGACGGCAGCGGCTGGAGCTCGCCCTGTGTGAAGCTGAAGTTCCTCTAGCGCTGGTGGGGTTAGCAGCGCGCCGGGCCAGGCAGCAGGAGGAACTGGATCGCACCATCGGAGCGTACACGGACAGACTTGATTAAATTCAAGCCTGATGGCCTCTGGCATAAACAAGATTCATCAGCCCGGGACTTGCAGTGCGTCTAAAGCAGCTCGCAGCAGCTCGGCGGAGGAATGCAGTCAGGAAATGCACATGAAAATGTGCAAGAAGATCGCTCAGCTCACTAAGGTAAGCCTCGCTGTTGTAGCCTTCCCGGGTAGGTTAGGCTGCCCTGGCTGGGGACGCCAGAGCTGACTCGGAGCTGCCTTCTATGATGGCCCCCGTCTGAGAGAAGGGAAGAGAAACCTGTCCTTTCTTACTAGGCTGTTGCTGAAAACATCGGTGTACACAAACTTCCTTTCAAACACGCACCCCACCCCCCGCCGGTGCCACAGACTAGCCTCAGCGGGTTGCCTTTGTGGCTGATGATTGCAGAATTGCAGTCAAAACTGCTCTAATTCGCATGCAACGATAGCGAGAGGGGCTCGAGCTCTGAGAGGACATAGGATTTGTCTGTGTGATGCTTGGAGGGGTTGACGGTATCCGTTTTTTCCCCCCTGAATTATGAAGACACGGATTCATTTGAGTTTTATAGGTTCTCGAGTAATATTGTTGCAAAGCTGCAGTTGAACTGTGATACCACACAGTACAAGATAGTTGTTGTCTTACACCTAATTGTTCCTGATGGGCATAAGTACAGATACTTTACATGACATTCCTGAAAGACGAGTTGGAGAAGAGATAGGATTAATTACACAGTATATTGTACTTAATCTTTTAGTCAATACTGAGTTACACTGCTAAATGTTTAGAACATTTTCCACACCATGTTAAGAAGTAAGAGAAAATCTGTACGAGGTGGCAGTTATCTTTTCACCAACCTTTATGCTGTATCTTTGTTCAATGAGAAAAACCTATTTCCAATCCTTGTTCACTAATCCAGTTTTTACATATTTTGTAGTCTCATGTCAATTGGTAAAGACATTTTAGCAATGAAAACGCGCTGACAATAAAAAGAAACACTCACTAAAAATACATGTCAATAGGAAGTCATTAAGATGTTCAACTTAGACTGATTTACTAGTAAGAACTAGTACTAGAACTAGTTCCAGTGCCATTATTTTCATCTAATGACAGCTGTATGTGATAACATATATCAGTGTATGAATACATACACAAGTGCTACCTATATTTACACATATACTTGCTAGCAACCTGATTTAGTGGAAGATATCCTTGCCCATGGCAGGGGGGGGGGGGGGGTTGGAACTAGATGATCTTTAAGGTCTTTTCCAATCTGGACCATTCTAGGATTCTGTATTATACTTACTGTACTATACCAATAATTTTAACCAGTGCTTTGATTGTATGTTTGTATAACGGCATTTGTACACAATCTGATGCTTGCTTTCTGTCCACAAGTACACAAATGACTCTTTACAGTGAGCTATCAGTCTGTAGTAATTGAAAGAAAACATCAAATTTTTAGTGATTTTGAACAAGGATATGTTTGAGCAATGAAGTCTGTAAAAATTCATCAAGAGAAGCACTTTCTATTTATTGATGACATTGCTAATTCCTCAGCCACAGTTAAAGGTACATGAAAGATGACTGTAAATTGGTTCAGATGTCCTGAGCTGTCCCCTTATTTTCTGTCTGATACTTGGTATGTTTGGTCAGTTTTGCACGCTAAGTAAAATTTGTCCATAAGTATCGCTCACATCACTGTATTACCTTTTCTAGTACAAAAGTAATAGTGGCGCTTTATTAATTGATACCTTATACTTTATAGTAAATAACAAGAATTGAGTTACCGGCTCCCTCTTTCTGGGTGATCCATTTCTCAACAGCAGACTTGGAGCACATTGATGAGATCTGAGCAAAGAAACACTTGTTCAAGATTTTCAGCTCTCAAACTAATGGTCTGTACAGACTTCTATGTCTTTCGCTATAAAGTGATTATTTTTAAAGTCTCTTTAATCTCAACTAAATTTTGAGGAAAATATATCTCACTCCTTTCTGAAAGTTCTATAAAGCTTGTCTTTGGTAAGGGAGGTAAGTTCTGCTATTTTAGCAGCAAAAGGGGGAGGGGAATCATGGCCAAATTATTGCAGTGGGTTTTTTTCAGATGCTTTTGCTAAATTTCTACTGTTAAAATGTGGGTGGGGTGATTACTTTTAATAGAATTTCCCCTCTGAATACTTTTCAGTCCTCTGAAATACAGATGATTTATACCTGAAGCTCAAAAAAGTGCTTCTGAAAAACGAATAATTTTATTTTGGCATGTGGCTTTTAAGAACCAATTTTCTCTGCAGTAACACTACACTTACAGAGAACTTATGGCAAAATTGGATTTTTAATCATACACTTTCCCTTCTGATTTCTGAGTGCTTACTAACAGCAAACATCTGAGAAGCAAAATCTGAGACCAGATTTGCTAAACATGGCATAAATTTGTTCTGATCATTTTTGGATTAGAAACTTTGAGATCTCCTATTCAAACCACAGTTTTCTTGGCTATGTTACAGTCAGGATAATTATAATAAAATCCCTCCTGACTTTAAATTGCCTGAAGTGCTTTCCTTTTCTGTTCCAGCATAGTATGCAGTATGCTGTCATTATACAGCTGCAACTTCCTGCCCAGTGATGTCAGAATTCATTGATGGGGTGATAATTCTCTAATTGCTCATCCACTCCACGTTGTACCCAGAGAAACAAATACATAATGTTTAAATAAGGTGTAGGATACAGAGCTTCACTTACATTCTGTTTCTTTAGTTAGTCACTAGTGGCCTCCTCTTACTCTCAAAAATGAAGGAGGAGTGTGCAAAAGGCATCAGCAGCAGAACCAAACTGGGTGAGGTGATGGAGTTTCCATCGTTGCATGAAATGTTGATTACATCGTAAGACAGGTTGGTACGGGAATCCTCATAGCTAATCAAGACACAGAAATACTGAAAACTGCTCCCATTCTACTGCCCCACTATTTTTGCTTTTGGAGAGGTAGAATATAGCAAGTTTTCATACATTTTTCTGTTCTGCACCCTTTTGGCTGTAGCAGCAAAACTACAAACCTTTAGAAATGTTTTGTTTGCTTTCGGCAGCAAACTGCTTTTTTTTGTAGGCAATTTATCAGTATTTTTAGATGTCTGGTTCTTCTCACAAAAATTGATTTTTCCCACTTTTGACATGTAGATAGAACATACATTGGTTTTCCCCATTAAGCTATCCCAGTGAGAAAAACCAACAAGCATATTTGTAAGCTCAGTCAGGCTCCCCAAAAGTAAGGTGGCCTTTGCATTTCAAGGCAGAAGTGGCCACAGATCCTTTTTTGCCATTAGGTATTTGTCTACCCACATTTGAAATCTGCTAATGAAAATATGGTAGGGTTTTATTATTACTTGTAAAGTTTTTGGTTTTGTAGAGTTTTTTTGTTTTTTTTTCTTTTGCTTTGAAAGCCACAACTTACAGTGCTAAATGAATATATGGGACAGTCAGGTTTTGTTTGAAATATATATATATATATTTTAAAAAGGTATACTAAAAAGTGCAAACTGATCTTTTTTTTTGTTCTCGTGGGGGCAGGTAAAAGCATTTAGAAGCCCTGGTGAGTTTGAATGAGAGCTGTCTAGGCCTTCTGAATTTTGACCTTAAAATCGGATAGCATTACAGCTGTTTCCAGATGAGCTATGGTTTGATTTATGAACTTACAAAAATTAAACCAGAAACATTCTGCTTGTGAATAGGAATGTCCATGTGTAGTTGTCACTCACACGTAAAATACAGTTAATATATAGGTACCTTGCTGCAACAGTAGTGCACTAATGCATTCAAATTCATAGAGGCTTAAAGTTAGTGTATTCCTACAATTGTAGTAGAATGCATGACTTTGTAACAGTAATTAAGTTTAGACTTCTCCATCAGACATGGGACCCTTGGCATGCTGTTTCATGCCTGCTAGTTCTGTGTATTTCTGATCTGTTCAGCAGTTAAATGCAGTTTAAAATGCATGGTGACTTTTTATAAGAAGTGTCATTCCCTGCTGCCTCAAGGTATGGATTTCTATTATCTGTTGCCTGTTGCAGGAATTCCATGTGCTTATGGATTCTCAGGACAGTCCTTTTTGTTTGAGATAGGATGAGAAATGCTAATGAACTCTTGAAGAAGAGTGTTGAGCAGAACAGATCAGCTTTCATTGAAAGGGCAGTTCAGGCAGGGCTGATAAGAACTAAGTATGCTGCAGATATTCATGCTATTCAGGTTTCTTTTCAAACCTCTGCCAGTGGGGCTCAAACCAAACCTAACATGAATAACTAGGATGGTGGCTTTGCTTGGGGATCAGAATGCTACCTAACCCACAAAACAGTTACGTTTCCTTCTTTGAGACAAATTCCTGGGTACCAATGGAGGGATATTTTTAACGAGAGTACAGAGCTACCCTCAAACTCATTTTCCTAGGGGTTCATCTGACTCTATATTGGGAATCTGGGAGCTTTGTTATAAGAAGCACATTTTAATTTGCAGTATTTCTGGTCAAGTAGATTGTTAAAAAGTCAAGCAGTCTGGCAAGAGTTTTGTGTATGTATGCTGGATACTGTGAGTCAGAGGAAAAGAGTGCTAATGTAAAAAAAAGTTAATTGCTGGTAAAACATAATTATGAACTTTTTGTTTCCTTCAGGGGAAAGAAATACTGAAGGAGAACAAGTTTGGGCAGATGTTTCTTAATGACTCTATGTGGAGCAGTTGAAAATATTACACACTCCAGCTGCTTATCACCACAGTCACCAGGAGGTTTATTGCCCCTCAGCTCAGTCAGCAGGGTAGCAAATGTGAAGCATTATTTAATAAGCTCCTGTGGAAAATCAGCCAGATAAGCAAACCCCACTGTCATTAGTTATTTAAGGAAGGATGTCAGACTTGTGAAGAAGTGTGTGCTCATATTTAGTTCTAATAGCTTCACTGTGCTGGTGGAAATTTATAGAAGAATCAGCAAACGGGGTGTTATGTGCATGTGGCTATAGGCTATTTACACCACTCCAGTGTCTTGTAGCATAGCTGTATATTAACTAGATCTGTTAACCTTTCCTGTTTTATTTGCCATTAAAAAAAAGGTGGCTGACAGGTTTAGGAATGAAATATGATCAAATACTAATGGCTTATTCTGGAAGTACCTAACAGCTGAGCACCTG